TCTCTCTCTCTGTCTCTCTCTCTCTCTCTCTCTGTCTCTCTCTCTCTCTTTCTCTGACTCTCCCTCTCTCTCTCTCTCTCCCCTCCCTTTCTCTTCTCTCTCTCAGTCTATCTCTCTCACTCTGTGCGTGCACATAATAAGGATTTAAGTGTGAGGGAGCGTGTTTATTTGTGCGTGTGTGTGTTGGTGTGTTGGCGGTAGATAGACAGGTAAATAGGAGGGAGGGTTGGCTATTATACGTATTCTTTTGTGTGTGACTGGCTATCTGTTTGTCTGCCTGATCTTTTGCCCCTCTATTCAGCCACGTATATCTAGCAAAGTACCTGTGCATACCGCCAATTGTTTACCTCTTTTGCATTTCTTAGTCCGGGAATGGCATTCTAGTTTGACGTGGGTTGTTGTTTTGTTTTTTGTTGTTGTTGGGGTGTTGTTGTTTTGTTTGTTTGGTTTTTTTTTTTTTGGGGGGGGGGGTTACATCATTGCAAAAAGACAAAGAATCGGCCGCAATAACCTCGAAATGTATGCTTCTCTTGGGATCCGGTCAGTCTAATTGTGAGTCCATTTTTACACCAACCCCTCGCTGCCATCATCTTTCTAATCACCGCCTTTTATAACTGACCCCAGCCAGGTTGTGAAACTGGACACTTGTCCCGTGACAACTAATTTGACACTTCTAAGAGCCGGTCAATTGTTCGTCACAGCGGAGCTCGGTCTCTGCCCCGTTCCTTCCTCTCCCTAGATTGGAAATCACACCGACCGTGTCAGATTCTGAAATCACCGTGGTTAAAACCAACTCGCTGGCCTGAGTTATTAGCCAACTTTTATTAGACGTCATGTTATTAACACCAAGCTCCAATTACTTTTCCTTCAAGGTAGGTCCTCGGGAGAGTTAACCGTAGAAAAGCAAGGGTTAGAAGTGACATTCAGATGATTCGGCACTGGCGCTCAGTCCCATAAGTCTCCTTTTTTTCTCCTTGTCCCTCTATGGCGGTTCTGGCTTCCGATTCGAGGAGCCCTGGTCTTTGTTGACACTTGTGAGGTCTGGGACGACTCCGGAAGGGTGGTCAAACCTCGCTTTCCTGCCGCTTGCTTGGACTATGGAAAATGCTTATCTGTAACTATTGTTCTTTCTCACATGTTTATACCGAGATAAATAGCGATCGTGACGTAAAACACTCGCGGTTTGTGATCGCCATTACAGAAGAGCTTTCATCATGATTGGAATCGGCCATGGAGATTGATTTGGTTTTGTTCCATCTGTTCGTACTTTCAATAACCGTTTGTTTTTCACTATATTCATACCAGCATTTAGTTCATCTTGCATTGTGCCGGCACGAAGCCTCACCAGTGTGCATTAACTTCGTTGAATAAGTACTTTCTGCTTTCAGTTTTGTTTAATTTGTGATAAATAGTCGTTTCGCACAATGCAATCAGAACGAAAAAGGATGATGTTGGGAATTGGGAAACTTTAAAAGCATGCTACAAGCTAGTAATATGCCATGTGAAATTAGATTTGTTGATTTCATGTTTGATGTCCTAACCAGCAGTTGTTCAGCTTGAGTTGCTCTTGCATGACTGTGTACATTTGCATGAACTTTTTAAACTTTCATTTTTATGAAAGGGAAGTAAACAGTTTGATTTTGTAGGTCTTTTTTCCCTGTTCTTCTAGATATATACATTCTTTCTCTCAATTCTGCAAAACATGGGTATTATTGCTGAATCTTACAAATGTAATTTTGCATTAGAATGATTACCATCTTATGTATACTTTAAGCTACATTTTTTATATGTCTATAATATAGATATATACTATGTCTATCTCTCCGGCTTTATAAATCATTTGAATATTTTAACTTTCCATACGGTAAGCAACAGTTGGTAAAGATTTATTCATATATCCTGTCTATCATTCTATACATAT